GCCGAGTCGCCGCGTCGCCAGACCGTCCGCTGCGCCTGAGCTGGGGGCCTTGGGTAAGCGGGGCCGGGATTCAGCAGAGGAGTCGGGCGGGATTGGTGATGCGAGGGTTCTGGGGGTTCCTACAGAAGTCTAGGGGTTTTGTGGGGAGAGTGTGAGGGTTCGGGGGACACTGTATTAGAGGGACGGAAGGAGGCAGAGGATGGTGACAGAGTCTGGCCCAAGGTAAGAGAGAGGCGTCCCACTACAGAGTGAGGAGGGGGCGGGGCCTGAGGCTGAGGCAAAGAAGGGGGCGGGGCCCAACTCCAAGGGGAGGGGCGGGGCCAACTCGGAGAAGGAAGAGCGGGACCAGCTCCTGAGGGGTGGGGGCGGGGCCAGACTCCGTGAGCGTGAGAAGGGGGCGTGGTCATACTCCGAGATGGCCAAAAAGGAGGGGCCTGGCTCACAGAAGGGGCGGGGCCTAACGAAGAAGGAAGCAGGGTCCTACTCAGAGTAAGGGGCGGGACCTGGGGGAAAAAGGGGACGAAGGCAGACTCCGAGGGGGCGAAGGTGGGGGCTGGACTCCAGTAGAGAGAAAAGTGTTAGAGTAGTGGCAGGGTCTGAGAAGGAAGAAGGGGACTGGCTTGACATTGACAAAGTGAAGGGTTAGGGTCTGACCCCGAGAGAAGGAAGGGAACGGTAGCTTTCCTAACCGAGGTTGAGGACTCCTAGAGACCCGACCTTAAGGGAGAGAAGAAGCGGGGCCTGAATGTGATGAAAGGGTGGGGTGACATGACAGAAACCGAAGGAACCTGCTCCCGAGTTAGGGAAAGGGGCAAGGCCAGACTGGGCGAGGGGTGAGAAAAGGGAGGGGGCAGGAGAGGAAGAGGGTGGAGCTTGACGGGTTTCTGAGGGATCTCCATCACCTCCTGAGACTTGCCTCCCTCCTGCAGGGGCCCCGGACCTCTCCTCACTCTCGCTGGCCGTTTCCAGGACCACGGGTGAGCAGCCCTCCACAGTTCCTGCCCACCTGCACACTCAGGACAGGGGAGGGGGGAATCCATTGGGCACAGCTTTCCTTGGTGGTGTCCTTCCCTGCTCGTCTAGATGGGGGTTCCAGATGCCCCTACCTCCCAGGTGATTAGGAGCTGGACAGGTAAAACTAAGCACCTGTTCACACTGTAAGAGGAGTCCTCTGTAGAGATTCACATGGCAGTGCAGAGCGTAATAATCACACCGGCGCTTTGGGGCTGCAAGTCACTTCCCCTCTCTGGGCCTCAGTGTTCCTCATCTGTAATGTGGACATAATATCAGTGTCTTCCCCTTTTAGGAGGATTGACAGGATTCAATGAGCTGATTCAGGTAAACTTCCAAAGCAGTGACTGGCGTACAGTAAACGCTCAATAAGTGTTAACTGTTAGTGGTGTAATAATAATTATTATCGTTAGACAGTCTATAACAGTGGTTCTTAAACCTTTATGTGCATTAGAGTCACCCTGAGAGCTTGTTAAAACAGATTGTTGGGCCCCACCTCCAGAGTTTCTGATTCAGTAGGTCTAGGATGGCTTCTGAGAGTATATTTCTAGCAAGTTTCCAAGAGATGCTGAGAACCACTGGTCTCTGTAAGGTCCCTCAGCTCATGCCACCCAACATTCAATGCCGCCCAAGGAAATGCAGAATCATAGCCAAATGAAGCATCTCTCTTACTACTATGCTGAGATTTGGAGTGCAGGAACGGGTCCTGTCACTATGGAAACTCAGTGGTCCTGGTGGGCTGAGTCTGAGCCTCTCTCTGGACGTAGAGTCTTGGGATGGACACAGAAACGCTGGCCTGGCCGTGGAGGAGGACCTGTGGGTTCTCTAACAGATCTGAGAGTTTGGGTGGTAGTGAGTGGTTGGCGATGACATTGGGGACAGGTACTGCCCAAACACTGGTTCTGGGCAGGAACAAGGCTGAGACTTTTCTTTCCTGAGACCTAGATCTTTGGTTTCAGTTGAGAATAATTTCTGATGTCATCCATTCAATAAATATTTATTGAGTTCCTGTTCGGTACCTGGCTCTGTGCTGGGCCGTGCTGGGGAGTCAGCAGTGACTGAAACAGCCTGGGCTCCACCCTCATGGGATTCCCTACCTAGACGTGGAGGCAGACACGTAAACAATAAATTAAACAAGGGATTATAAAGTGTGATAAAGGCTATGAAGAAATCTTGGGGTCAGTAATATCTCAGAGAAGGCTGAGGATAGGAGAACTACTGAGATAGAGCGGGAGGGAAAATTTCCTTCATTTTGATGGGACAGACACATGCAGTGTCCCGGGTATAAGCAGTGGTGATGGGGCAGACATGTTCCTTACTCTGGTGCTTGCAGTCTACAGCAGACAGATATGAATCACTGTAACATAAGGTCATGTCAGATTCTAATGTAAATTATAAAACAAAGGCACCTAACTGTGACTACAGTGGGGGTCCTAAGGACTATCTTGGAAATAGGTCAGGGAAGACCTATCTAGGAGATGACATTTGCAGAGAAAGAGGCCATGCAAAGAACTGGAGGAAGAGAATCCTGATACAGACCAGCCTGTGCAAAGGCCCAGAGGCAGGGAAGACAACTGGCTTTCTGCTCTCAAATCTGCTCAAGTGTGGCTTATCCTGGCTCCCCCTGGATGGCAGCGAGTCTATATGGGAGGTTGGGGGGCAGTGTGGGGTGTTATTTTAGTTGAACCCAGTATTTCCTAGCTGAAAAAGGATTTTAGATAACAATAATATTACCTAAGTTTTATGGAGGGCCTCATATGGTCAGATCCTGTGCTAAGACATTTCTCTGTGTAATCCTGAATCCTCATGTTAATGGCTGAGACAGGAGCTCAGATCTCATTTTATAGGGAAGGAGGCTCAGAGAGGTTAAGCAACTTGCCCCAGGCCACACAGCCAGTGAGTGACAGCTGGGATTCAAACCAATATCTGCGTGACCCCACACTGCATGCTCTGAAAGCATGTCTTCCTAACAGCCCCATTTTATAAGCATACAACTGAGGCCTAGAGATGGGATGTGGTTTACCCAGTCTATAAAACAACGTCTCCCAACACCTTGTTTAATAGCAGCCAGCATTTATTTTATTTTTTAAAATTATTTTTAAAATATATTTTTGTTGATTTCAGAGAGGAAGGAAGAGGGAGAGAGAGATAGAAACATCAGTGATGAGAGAGAATCACTGATTGGCTGCCTCCTGCAACCCCCTCCACCCCCCACGGGGAATCGAGCCTGCAATGCAGGCATGTGCCCCCGACCAGAACTAAACTGGGAACCCTTCAGTCCGCAGGCCGATGCTCTATCCAGCATTTATATAGCACCTACTATTGTGGCAGTTCCAAGTGCTTCCCATGTAGTATTAGCTCATTTAATGTTCACAACAGCCCAATGAGGCAGGTGTTATTGTATCCATTTTATAGATGAGGAAACCAAGGCACAAACGGATTAAGTAAGGGGCTTAAGGCCACATAGCAAGCAAGTAACAGAGCCAGAATTTGAACTGAGGCCGTCCGGAGCTCTGGTCATTGTTGCCCGGGGCCTCAGTTTCCCCCTGCAGCGTAGGAGCTCCTTAAGGGCTCAGACAAAGTCTAACTCAGCGGTTCTCAACCTGTGGGTCGCGACCCCTTTGGCGGTCGAACGACCCTTTCACAGGGGTCGCCTAAGACCATCGGAAAACACATACTTACATCTTGTTTTTGTGATTAATCACTATGCTTTAATTATGTTCAATTTGTAACAATGAAATTGGGGGTCACCACAACATGAGGAACCGTATTAAAGGGTCGCGGCATTAGGAAGGTTGAGAACCACTAGTCTAACTCATCTTTGGGTCCCCAGGTCATTCAGTATAGATGCCTAAGGTTTTTCCCAGTTCAAATGCCTTGAGGTTGTCCTGCCAGTGATCTGCAGCAGGTCCCTTTCTCTCTCCCAGCCTCCGTGTCCCCATCTGCCAAGTGAGGGTGTCTTCCCCACCCCGCTGACTTCACAGATTACATGAGATAAAGGGTGCAGGAATACTGCTTTCCAAGGAGCAAAGGTCGGGCTGCCAGGAGCCACTCCCCGAGAGTTGAGGAGGAGGACAGCTCTGGCATCGGGCTGGTCGGTGTCTGAGGCCAGTGGCCAGCACAGGCAACCCTGGGTGGGGCGTCGGGCCCGGCCTGCCCTTGCTTGCTGTGTGACTCCAGGCTCACTTACTCCCTGTGGAGTTCCCCTTGTCCTGTCTATGGAATAAAGGGAGGTTGGTTTCGGTTTCCCCATGGCCCCTTCTAGGGCTGAGGTGATAAGGGGTTCCTAGCGTTACTGTCCCTCCTCCCTCAGGGAGTGGGGGTGAATCCAGGATGGCGGGTGGGTACTGCTGGGGGACTAGCCTATGATGCAGAGTGGGTGGCTGCCTGGAGGAGGAGGATCGGCCTCCTGGGATCTTCAGACACCAGCCAGTGACCTTTGGGGGCCTAGGGTGCACTGTAGGGAGAGAGCACCCCCACCTTTTGTTTAGAATCTTCAGTGTTCATTTTTCTCCTGGTTATAAGACCCTTGGCTTTTCCTACAATTCCCAACAACACTTCATAATCCCTGGCCTAAATGTTTTTGGGGAGACATTTGAGGGGACCCTGACCCTGGGATCCCCAACATTGGGAGCTAAACAGAAGGTAGCCAGGAGAAGGTTTAGCACCCCTGGGAGTCAGAGCCCAGTTTCCCAGGAGGGGGGAGGGGTACCAGGAAAGGATGGGGTGGGGAATCTGTCTTAAAAATGAAAGTTTGACCACTTACCTGGCCCTCACCTTTCTCTTTTTCTCTTTCTCTTTCTCTTTCTCCCGCAGATGAACTGGGTGAGTATCGCAGGGCAAGTCTGAGGGAGGCTGAGGAGTCCAGTGCTCACAGCAGAGAGCTTGGTCTTCCTTGTTGGGGTGCTGAGGGGAGGGTCACAATGCGACTTCGGGGCCTGTTGGGACATTTTAACAGCCATGTTTCCAAGGTACCAGTGGTGCGTGACACCTGGCAAAGGCTGTCATGTCAGCTGCCGTCCGTGTCACTGTTCATTCCTCCAGTGAGTTGTACTGAGCACCTGCCACTGTGCTGAGCACGTGCCAGGCTGTTCCAGGCCCCGGGGATTCAGTCACAGACCAAAGTGCCCTCTGCGGCTGACGCTCTAGCGGGGGAGACAGTAGCAAAAGGAGTAAATGAATAAGATAAGGTCAGACTGGGCAAAGGGCTGTGAAGGAAATCAAACAGGTAGAGGGAGAGAGGGCATTAGATGGGGCCTTTCTGGAGTGGGGGCATTTGAGCTAAGACCAGAGGACGAGGAGCCAGGAGGGGTTGGATGAGGGGAAGCGTGGAACAGGCAGATGGAGGAGCAAGTACACTGCCCTGAAAAGGGCCAGGCTTGGTGGGTGCAAGCAACAGGAAAAACACTG